AAACATACTGCTACATAAAAATAAATTTTGATTAATTAAGTAAAAGTTTTAAATTATCACTGAAAATATCGTAAAGAGACTGGAAAAGAGCAGCTAGGAATCTGAGCAAGGCTTTTTCCTCATTATTTTTTTAAGTGGACTAGAGCAGCCAGAAGACATAAATACCCTTGAGACACCTTTCTAAGGGTCATTAACTTAATGTTTTTCAGCCTCCCTTAACAAATGACCAACATTTGGTAACTTTGACACCTGAGTCACACATTACAAAGGTAAATTGTCAGTCTAACACTCCTTTAATACACTATGTACTATCACAGGTGAAAAATCACACAAAGCCAGAGGACAGATCTTTCTGTGTCCAAGTTTTATAATGGACATTAACTTTAGTAGAAATGATCTTACAAATTACAGTCTTTGGTGTTGAAGTTGGGGCTCTCCTCTACCCACTAGTAAACACTGAACTACACGCAAGATCTGTTTTTCTCTCCTAGAAAGCCAAAAGAGTAATATTTTCCTCTTATCTATGAACATTTTATATTTCTTTGAAAGTTTTATTCTGTAGGATACCGGTAGTTAATATGACAATTCTTACTAAAATACCAAAAAATCTTCTTGTCCTAAAATATATAACAGGAAAGGAGGAAATATATGCCTAGACTTTGAACTCGTGACCCCAGCATCACTAGTCAGTCCGTGCTCTAACCACTGAGCTATTCAGACTGATATCCACAGTTTCTAACTTGAGAACCTTAAATCATCTTCACTCTTGTCAAGACACACTTTCACCTGCAAGTCCATGGGTGGTCAAAATTATGTAACAGGGAAGCAGAAAATGTATGGCTGGACCAGGAACTGAACCCTGGAGCCCTGCATCATTAGTCAGAGGCTCTAACCACTGAGCTATCCAAACCAATATCCATGACCCAAACCACTACAATGCCAATTAAGAGTAGAAAAAGTCTTATGGTACACATTTTTACACCATTTACTGTCTAAAATTACTTAAAATCTTTCATACAAAGTTGGTTTGTGCTAATCCTGGCCTTACCTTATAATAATTCTGTAGCTTTTGATCCTTAGAATGGAAGCTGAAGCAGGCCAAGTAAGTTGCAGAATAAATGAGTGGGTGGAGGAAATAAGGAAATGTATCACTCTTAAGAATGTACCATAATTCTCAATTTGGATAACATAAAAATATAATTCATTACCACTGGAAAAAAGGATTGCTACTAGGTTCCATAACTTTGAACAGGATGAGAGGAATGCTCTTCAGCTCTGCTGTAATCTATAGCTGCTTTATTGCCACATATTTCAGAACAGCCAACATGCATTGCAATGGGATTCAAATACAAACCAAATTACTGGTACATGTATCTACACTTGAAAGATAGTGCTGAATAAGCTAAACAATTTCAAGCACATAAAATGGATTACAGATTAACACAATCATGATGTCAGTGTGACAGTCAAAGCTTGATTTCACTCTGCATCATGTTATGCATGAGTACTTACCTCAATATAAACATCTTGACTAGGTTCCAAAATGCAATTGCAAGGGATTACGTAAACTGAGTTTTCTAACAATCAATTTTTCGCTGCTACACATATCCCCCTTCACTCCCATCTCAATTTAACTTTGTACAAATAATCAGTTTGTTTGCCTCAATAGAAAGCATTGTTGTATTATCAAAATCATTATAGAAAGAGGTAATTCAATTTCGGCAACTGTTTGCTGAGTAAATTTGTCCATTCTCTACAATCTCTTATCTTCAATGATTTGTGAAAAACACATTCAATGATCAATTATTAGGTGTGAAATGTAAGAAACCTAATACCTTTAGGCATTTTAGCAGTCATACTTTGTATTAATTAAGCTAATTCCCTACTATGTGTATTTTGGCCCATAGACCATAAATGGAAAATAATTCAAACAAATTTTTCAAGTCTAAACATTTCAGTCCAGTCTTAGCTTCCAATGATTTACCATTTAAAGGCTTTTGGTTCTGTATACGCCACAACTAGCTGCTAAAAAATATTTATTTTCATTGATAACTGATTGCATATTTTATAAAAAGTTACACAACACCCACATTGCCTGAATAAAAAGTCTTCGTTAACACACTTTAAAGGAATTATCTTCACGACAAACAATTGCACAGTCATGATCTTAAAATTTAAGGAATTTGTTACATTAAAATTTCCCCCTAATTCACATAACCAAATTTGAAATGGTTCTATATTAAAATAAGGCCTTATCATCTACTGATTGAACTTTGGCTTATGATGTTCTAGCTGTTTATCAAAGGTAATGGCTCTGTATACTAACTGTTTGAATAAACTTCATCAATTCCTCTAGTGTCTATACACTAATCCGCCCTATCTCCTTCTTAAACAAACCTTAAAGGAGTCAGACTGGATACAAAACATCAGCTGTCTTGGCTCTTTCATTTTTTCCCTATGTAAAACATAGCCCACCTGAGAAATTTGAATCCAGACTCATGATTTTTGTTTGAGTGATTGAATCACATATCGTATAAGTGGAATTTTTAGCAAGATGAAAATCAAGCAATTTGTCCTTAAAAATCAGTATTTAATTTTAGCGAGAAGTAATGTTCACGATATTATGGTGCATAGAAAGACAATGGTAACCTCTAATGCAGAATAAATTGTTAGCGATATTGAATTTTAGCTATCTCAACACCCTCGTTAAAAATGCCAAAATTGAATCCTTGCTGAAATTTCTGTTTATACAGTAGTTAGAATCAGAATTCCAGAAATTTACTCAAGTATGCACAAATCTCACAAGTGGATTTTTATTGTTGAATGAAAAAAATGTTTTAAATTCATATTCCTAAGTCACTTTTTCATGGGTTTCACAAAATGATGGTGACTTGCTGTTATACAGAAGCTAGTACTAAACTAACTTCTCTGAATACACTTTGGCTGTATCCAAATACATGAACTGCTAAAATTGAATAGATTTTACACTACTTTAAGATGAAAAACCTATATGTCTTTTTTAGTTTTTACCGAGTATTTGTTTTCCATCTCATTTTGTGAATGTAAACCCTGTCGTGAGTCTCTGCAGTTCAGAGATGAAGCATCTGCATCTCTGTATAGAGACTTTATCAGCTTAGATCACTTTATAATTCTTCATATAAAAAAGTAAAAAGACATATACCTCAATGAGAGATCCAGCAAGGGAGTCTAACCCCCCTCCTTTTCAAAGATTTTCTGTCTTATGAAATTTTCAAATAAAATATGCTGAAGATGAATTTAACATACCCCCCCCCCCCCAAAAAAAAAGAAAAGTGGACCCCTTCTAGGATTTTTATAGACACATACATAAAAGATGGTTTTCTTTCTATGGCAGCTTACCCTCTCCCCCTCCAAGAACACAAAATAGTTTGGTTTTTTTTTTGACTGGCAATTTTCCTTTTCTTTTTGTTACACACAGGAATTTTTTTCTGACTTGAAAGGGACCCCCCTCCCTGCCATTTGAGAAATATCTTTACTAACCCTGAACATGGATATGTTACGTCAGAGAGCTATGCCCTAGTTCTGTCTGGTGACAACCATTTTCAGACATCTCAAGATAATTGGCCTCCTACAGACTGTTAAAGCTCATGTTAAAAATCACTATCTGGTTACGTAGAATCTCCCCCTATACAAATATTTCTACAGGCTCTGTTCTGTGTGCTTGTCCATCCAAATTACATCATATGCTGGTAATATAGGGTTTTTTTATTTGCAAAGTTATCATCATGTCACAAGATGATCAACAAAAAAGTGTGAGAATACTTTACAACTTACTGCTCCTGAAGATAAATTCAACAGGATGTGCTTATTGTATTTCTTTTTTTTTTGGTTAAAATAAACAAGCAAATGAATGCTTGTAGAGAAAGACATACAAAAAGATTTTTCGACCAGAAATATTCTTTAACAAGAGGCCCAAGGGCTTTAACAGTCACCTGAGTATAATAAAACTGTAAAGGATCCATAAAAGTATAAAATAAAAAATTATACATATATCACATGGCTTCGAGGGTGACATACCAGAATATTTGCCCAAAGGTGTCAGGAAAGCTCTAGAGTGTTATGTGTGATTCAGCATTCCTCAGAGTATATAGTGAAACTTATTACATTGGAAAACTTATTCAAAAATGTTATATTATAAACTGATAGATGAAGGGGCCACAAATTTCACAATTTTGAAAGAGGCACACTTGCTCATCATAACCATTTAAACAGTCTGTTTACTCAATACCCAGCAGGAGCAAAAAAGATTTTCAAAGAACTAATTGCATTTCACCATATTATCATAGCACCCAACCATAACACCAGAACCCCTGTCCTAGTGGCCATGAATTTCACAATTTAGTAAAGGACTCCTCATTTGTTTAATCATACCAAAAATTTGACTGCTTGATGTCTGGGGAGTAAAGAAAAATATTTTTGAAAATAGTAAAAGTTTTGATGGTTTTGGCCCCACCCCTCAGGCCCCAGGGGGGCAGGGACCATGAAATTCACAATTTTAGTTCATCTTGACTAATAGATGCTATATACCAAATTGTATAGAACTGGTCAATTGGTTACATCGTTCATGCCATTGATGTTCAAAAGTTCATAATCAATGCACAATGGACAATGCACAACGACGGACAAAAACAGATAGCAACAGGTCACCTGAGTGATTCAGGTGACCTAAAAAGCAGTGTCTTATGCAACATGAAAGTGGGTTTAAATATGACTGTACCTGAATAAAAGTAACATTTTGTGCAACAAAAAATTTTGAAACAAGTGTTTTAAAACACTATGCCACAATGGTGGTAATTTGTAATGTAAACAGAGTGGCTGCTATCATGACCTGAAGAAAAGCTTTTACCTTCAAGGTCAAATGTATAATTCAAAGTAATAGAGTAAACATACAACAATATGCCACCATCTTGAAATATAAAAGCATAAAGAAAGTAATATGAAAATTAAACAGATACACCTACCCTGGTGGTTTAGGTTGTGATGCTGAGCCTCCTTCTTCAGCAGGATTTTCATAAGAACCCACCTCCTGGAAGGGGCTGTCATTCTGGTATCGCAAGATCACCTTCTGGTTAGTTCTGGTTTCCTCGCCGCGGCGACGATTACCCTGGTTTTGTCCATGACCTTTGACCTGCTGACCAGATATCTGGCCCTGACTGTGACTAGTATGAATATGAGAATCATGAATATGAAATTGCATCTGTCCCCTTGAATACATGTAACTAGACACTTCAAACTGGTTCTGTCTATCACCATAAAGATTGGTTGCTGCAGACTTGCTGTCTGTAAACACCTCACTCATTGGTCTCACAGGTTTCCTTCTAGGAGAGTCATTTAATCGGTCTCGTTTTCTCACTTCTGGTATCAACACGTTATCATCAACACTAGACCAGTTCTTGTGTTTCTGTGGACTGTTTATATGTCCGTTATGTTTTGGGGTACCCTTGTGTCTTGGACTTTGTATTCTTTCATGTTTTGGACTTGTGTCCATCTCGCTTAAGCATTTGGAATTTCGGTTCATGTTGTGTCTTGGGCTATAATCTTTGTGTCCGTTTTGTGTTGGTGTGTGTCCGTTAACTTGTGCAGGAATGGCTGGCAAGGGCCGATTCACCATGTTGGTTGAAATCTTCCTCTGAAAAGACATTTGTGCAATAAAGGACTTTATGCCAACAAAACTTTTTTCACCTAAACAATTACACATGAAAAGTATTTTTATAAAACCGAGGTAAAACAGACTGTTAGCATTCCCATTTAACTTAACTTGTTGAAACCATTCTTTGAAATGTATACATTTTAATTCAATTTAAATGAACATTCTATTTTAACACCCTATTGCGCAGTAATATTCATCAGCTAAAATAACTAACCACAAAATCATTATGAAGGTGAAGAAAGTTGGGTTTTCTTAATTTATGAGGTGTATGGAATGAGAACAAAGTCAAAAGTTTTTAACACAAGAAATTAATGAAGGTTTCAAGAGAAAAAAGAATAGCCTAAAGAAGCTGAATTGTCCCTACATAGATGATGAGCTTTAAATGTAGAATAACTAAATGTCAATGCTTTTCTAAAGTAGTGTCCCCTGTCACCTCATATATTACCTCTACCATCACACAATGACACCCAAATTACAGCCCTCAACATCAAATAACCCAATATTTCTGTCTTAACATAAACCTCAATATCTCCACATAGAATTCACATGTCAACCTTAAAACATTTGTATGCCTATTCAAAAGGTTTCATATGTCACTTTCTTTAAGTTCTTTCAAATTCTGAGTCATCTTTAACACCCTAAACAAAAATCCTTGGACTGAAAATGACTACACAACTACATCATAGACCTTTCTAATCCAAACATGATTTCAAAGTTACTTACCATACAGTGAAATCCCCATCCTAACCATGTATTCCTTATTACACTTCTATTGTCTCATGTTTATATTTAACTTGGCGAGCAGGGGCTGACTAGACTGATTAAGTTACTTTAAATGTTTCATATACCTGGTGCAGACAGTAATACATCACACATTATACAAAAAAATGTCATTTCTCTAACGAGACACCTCTCTGTAAAGAATGCACATCACTTTTGTCTTCTATACAAAGGGACCCTGAGGTGCAGTTTTTACCTGTGCATAATTAAGTTTAAAATCAACCGATTAAATTAAAAAAACAATATTTATACCGATCCTCATATTTCCAAAATAAAACTTCTCAAGTTAGTAGGTGCTATTCCAGTCTTGTTAGCCGGACTTGAATTCTTCACAGGTGTGTGAACGACACAGTGCAAAAAAATTCACCTAATCCCATTAGAGGCTGGTCCTCAAACATGTAATGTGCCTTTTTGTGCAGACATCACTTCCTTACATAAAAAAATTTCAATATGTAAATGTCACTCAGTCTTCCTTTTTTTTCCAATTAAAAATTCCTTATCAGCTGTGACACAACAGACGTTTTGCAAATCAGACGTACTTTTTGCCCTCTTTACATAGAAAACTAAAGCTTTGAATGATGGCACCCCCTCCACTTGAATGCAATAGGTTCAAAGGATGACTTGATTTTCAACAGAATATGATCAATATTTTCACTGCACAATTCATTAAAAATTCAACCTCTTTTGTGATTTATGTTAACCAGTACCACAAAGCTGCAATGGGTTGGTGAAATTCCATCACATTAATGTAACCTTAAGCTTCTGAGATTAATTTTACAAAACTACACATTGGAATGGAAAGCTTCAGTGATGTGAAAAAAGAACAGAGAAATTCTGGCACAATTACCACTTGTTAAAGTTAATTTGAGTTTTTTTAAGTGTGTGCTGTAAGTTTTTACCTGTTACATTTTCCTGATTTATCTGTAAGTAACAAAAGGTGATTCATTACAAAAAAAATTAATTACTATAAATTCTGTTATTTTTAGGTGACAAATTATTGTGATTACGTTCTGAAATTCTTTTTCTCCTCTGGAAAATGAAGACTTTCTTTACAAATGGGACTTTTCTAACTTGAAAACAAGCACCTGACAGTCATTTCAAAACAAAATGAAGAAGGCATTTGAAAAACAACACAATTAATAAAATTTGCGAGAAACAGAGGAATTTATCACTTTATTCCACTTGAAAGCCAGACGGTTCCGTGTCTGGAGTAGCAATCCTGGATCTGGAGATTGACAGAAGTGAGAGTCAAGTGATATTGCGAGGAGTGAACCTCACCGCTGAGGACAGAAAAGGCTCGTTAATCATCTCAATGGTGATTACCTCACCAAAGACAGAAGACATAACAAGTATTGGCTGTGGAGAATGGCAATATAAAGACATCATGCATGCATAGGTTGCTGAGAAATGATATCTTCTTTGCAATGAATCACGCAATTAGATTTATACAAATATGCTTTCTCCTTCTGTTATTTTGTCATCCTTAAATAAACATTACTTCTACTGAATAAACCAGTTTAAGAAACTTTCAGAAATTCAAAGCATGTTAATTAGTTACTTATACTATGGTCGTTTCCCTAAATAATTGATAACTAGATCCAGACTTTAATGAGGCTTGAATGGGTATTAACAAGACCATGAGAGGGGGTGATCGCAATTGATACTTTAGAACTGGTTAATATTCTTTTTAGCATCTATTATATTTGCTTTACAGTTGGTTAAAAGAAGTTTTAATTTTAAAAGAATTTCTTTTGATGTACAGAAATCATTCCTGTTTAAATTTGTTATATACATTACACACACATCTCCCTTAACAGTATGAGCACGCCAACAGACCACTTATGATGCATATTACTCATTGCTGAAATTGAAATTGAATTTGTTGGACCTTGAAAAAAAAAAACATGCCAGGAACTAGACTAAAAAAGAAAATGAAAAGTTGGGAGGGATAATTAGCACACACAGTAGACCATGTCACCAGCTATTGTGACTGGGTTCTATACAATACAAAAACAGGCTGCACTTACTATAAATGCAATCTATGTAATTAAAATTCTCACTTTTCATCACATTCTTTAATTAAATTTTATGGGAAATATCTTAGGAACATTGCAGATTTATTGTGCTTTATACAGTAGGTAGTATTGTGTGGATGAAAGGGGCAAAAACTGAATAAAGACGCCATCAAAATTCGACCACTCCTTATCAAATCTGATGCAATGTGTCATCTCAACTAAAACGGAGTCATATTTATGATATCTGATGGAAAGGTGATAAGCTATCGATGGGTTTAATGGGTGAATTAATATGGATCTTTGACACTGTTCTTTTAAAAAAATTTACTCTAGAATGTAGATGCAGACATTTATTAGAAGTAAACATTTTCCAGTCAGTCCTCTGAGGATAGCTGATTTATGTTGAACAGAGATGACAAACCATTTTCAACTTAATTTTTCATGATATTCTCATTAAATATAAACTTTAAAGCATTCAAAATGAAAATTAATTATAATATCTGGCATAAAAGCCTTGCTGATGTATCAGAGAGAACATGCAAAATTGAGGAGCAAGTAAGCAAGAGTTGTCTTTCTTTAAGTAGCTCTATGTGAAGCATAGTAACAAACACAGATGAAGTCAGTTACTTTGAAAAGTAATTAATTTAATGAAATTACAATTACTTTCCTAAAGAAATTAATCAAAATATAAATTAAAATACAGTTGAACTTTGGTATCTTGATCACCGTTATCTTGAATACCATGGATATATCGAAGTGAGTCAGAACCATTTTTTTCTCTATGTGTTTTAACCTCCATATCTTGAATCCTCAAATATCTCTCAGTTTTTTCTTAGAGATAAGTTAGAGATAATGAGGTTTGACTGTACAGCAAGTAACCTTTACAACAAAGCAAATTGTCACATACCCTCCTGCTCAATGGTTTAAATTCTCATTAATTGTAATAATAATGTAATGTAATCAAAAGCTTTTCAAAATCTGTAAGTAAAATATTAAATTTGCTCTATGCACATTGAAAAAAAATAAAAATACAAAACTTGAGAAGAAAGTTCTGTAAAGATTTTTTTCAAACACACAAAAAAGAAAGAAAAAGAACTAGATGCGATCTCGTTGCGAGCAACGAGTGGGTCTTCCGTCCGATTTTTGATAAGATGAGATACGAATTTGATTGAGATTTTCGTTCATAAATATATAAATAGTGAAAACGTACAATTTGCTTCAGTTATGTTTAACAAAATTTTGATCATTATGGAACAAAAAAACGCAATATTTGATGAAGATTTTAAAATATTTATAGTAACAGATCGTGAAGATGAACATTACTGCAAAAGGGTTATAGATGAAAGACTTTTAGCCCCTTTGAGCCCCTAATTCGAGGGGTCTTGATATCAAATGAAAGGTCTTGTAATTCTGAAGACTTTTCGTTCAACAACTATTCAGTTTTCGAGATATGCAGACTTGAAGTATTTAGGGGCCGTCCCTTTAAGTCCTTATAGGGGCTGTTTAGGAAAAATTCAAAGGATGCACATTGTTCAGATCATCATTCTAAACAACTTTTGTTCAATATTGCTTTTCAAAATGTTTCCCCTTTTTCGAGATATAAAGCTTCAAAGATTAAGCATTCTGGCTCCTTATGGCCCCTAATTACGTAATATTTGAAGAAAATTTTACGATATATAGATGCAGATTGTGAAGATGAACATTTTTTCTTCAATATTTAATATCAAAATATTTAACGTTAAGGAGTTATACCCCTCTGAGCCCCTAATTTGAGGGGCCAGCCCCTTTTTCTTGATATCACTTGAAAGGTCTTGTAATTCTGAAGACTTTTTGTTCAACAACTATTCAGAAGTTTCGTTTCGTTTTTGAGATATGTAGACTTGAAATATTTAGAGGCCATCCCTTTAAGTCCTTATAGGGGCTGTTTAGGAAAAATTCAAAGGATGCACATTGTTCAAATCATTATTCTAAACAACTTTTGTTCAATATTGCTTTTCAAAATGTTTCCCCTTTTCGAGATACAGTGGCGCCTCATTTATCCGGACGCCTCTGTCCCCAACGAAATCGTCCGGATAATTGAATCACATCTCAAAAAGCACTCTCTAAGCATGTACATTGTATATATGCACATTCTTGTTTCAAATGTGACAGCAAAGAAAAAAACTTTTAAATTATATTTTGGTTTATTGTTTTAAAAGCAGTAATTGATTAAAGAAAAAAATATATTAAAATGTAATTTACACAATAAAAAGAAATGGATGGGCAATTTTATGCTGAGACCTCCTATTTTAATTCGCCTTCTCTTTGGCTTGTGACTTCATGGGCTGAGCAAATTCTGATCTACAGTTGTTTTATTTAGCCATATATTATAATTATTGAAGCTCATATGATATGAAAGAACTGTTTAGCATCATCATTAAAAATGTTCAAATATAAACTAACCCCGTATATTCCCTGTATATTCATTACACAGGGTAACTATAAAATTAACTGCAAGCTTACTCAAACAAAGTATTAAAACATTCGTAAACACAAGTCATCTTCATGATTATCAATATTTTTTTTCTACAGACGCTAAGTTTGAATTTCGATCATTAAAAATACCTTGATAAACGTAATCAACTTCTGTACCTAACGCCAGTTATATCTTTTCTAAAGCAATGGACGTTTGTAAATGGTAGTACATTAAATAGAGATATTTCTTCAGTTATGTACTTTTCTAAACTGTCTTGTGGGGAAAAAAGCGTTTCAAATACATTTACGTTTTTAGAAAAGGAAAATAGTATTTTAAACTAACGCAATCAACATGATAAAGAGCATTACGAAATCACGCGTTATTTATTGTTTATTTTATTTACAACTCTCCAAAATTCTCATGAATTTACCGATGTACATACGGTTAGAAATATGATTTGAACAGATTATTATTTAATTAATGCACAGTGTAAGCTAAATATTAAAGAAAAACGTGTGATTGAATTAGGGTAAACACACGCTAATTATAGACGCTATTGTTTGTAGGTCACAGGTAACCGCCTTCAAACTGACTGCATGGCCAATGTTTTTACAACAATTAACACAAATGCAAGCGAAGTGTGAAAAAGTCGTTTCTTGAAAAATTACCGTCCGGATAAACGAGTCATTTTTCAATGAACTATTACGTTTTGTAGTAGAAATTGACCGTCCGGATACGGAACGCGAATTTCCGGATTAATGAGACAAAATAACGTGGAAAAAATCGGTTCCCAAAAAAAATCGTCCGGATGGTGAAGCGTCCGGATAAATGGCTTCCGGATAAACGCGGCGCCACTGTATAAAGCTTCAAAGATTAAGCATTCTGGCCCCTTATGGCCCCTAATTACGTTATATTTGAAGAAAATTTTAACATATATAGTTGCAGATTGTGAAGATAAACATTTTTGCCTCAGTATTTAATATCAAAATATTTAACGTTAAGGAGTTATAGATGAAAGACTTTTGGCCCCTCTGAGCCCCTAATTTGAGGGGCCAGCCCCTTTTTCTTGATATCACTTGAAAGGTCTTGTAATTCTGAAGACTTTTTGTTCAACAACTATTCAGAAGTTTCGTTTCGTTTTCGAGATATGCAGACTTGAAATATTTAGGGGCCGACCCTTTAAGTCCTTATAGGGGCTGTTTAGGAAAAATTCAAAGGATGCACATTGTTCAGATCATCATTCTAAACAACTTTTGTTCAATATTGCTTTTCAAAATGTTTCCCCTTTTCGAGGTATAAAGCTTCAAAGATTAAGCATTATGGCCCCTTATGGCCCCTAATAACGTTATATTTGAAGAAAATTTTAACATATATAGTTGCAGATTGTGAAGAGGAACATTTTTGCTTCAATATTTAATATCAAAATATTTAACGTTAAGGAGTTATAGATGAAAGACTTTTGGCCCCTCTGAGCCCCTAATTTGAGGGGCCAGCCCCTTTTTCTTGATATCACTTGAAAGGTCTTGTAATTCTGAAGACTTTTTGTTCAACAACTATTCAGAAGTTTCGTTTCGTTTTCGAGATATTAGCAAAAGAAGTATTTAGGGGCCGGCCCTTTAACTCCTTAATGGGGACGTTTAGAGAAAAATGAAACGTTGCATATTGTTTAGAACATTATTTTGAACATCTTTTGTTTTATATTGCTTATCAAAATATTTTCCACTTTTGAAATATAAAGCGTCAAAGATTTTGCATTCTGGCCCCTAATTATGTAACATATGATGTGAATATTATAATATATAGTTGTAAATTGTTGAGATAAACATTTTTGCTTCAGTAATGCATTACAAAATTTTGATCGTTAAAGAGCTATTGACTAAATACTTTCGGCCCCTCTCGGCCCCTAATGTGATGAGTCAGCCCTTTTTCATTGATATCATATAAAAGATCTTGTAATTCTACACAATTTCTATTCAATATGTTTTTAGAAAATCTCCATAGTTTTAGAGATATGATTAAAAATGTCTCGAAAATTCACTCCTGATTCATGTCCTAAATTTCGACCCCTACCGAGCTTCCATACTAGGTACTTCCGGAAAATTTGAAAACCCAGGTGCAAAACTTCAACATGTCTTCTATAATCGCTGAAAAGTTCAGCGCTCTTACTTTTGCCGTTTTTTAGTTTTTGTGTCGACAAAATGGTTATCTGAAAATCGATTAAAGGGCGATAACTTCCGACCGGAAGTGAATTTAAAGGATTTGAACAAAAAAGGATCATCTTCAGATCAAAAGGCATTACCCCTGAAAATTTCATGAAAATCGATCGAACCGTTTGCGAAATATCTTCTGCACAAAAATTGTAAAGAAAAAGTGGAATAATAATAATAAAAGTGAAAAAGAAACAATACAATAATAGAAGGGTCTTCCGTTGGAGACGGAAGACCCTAAAAATACCCAAAAATCTAGAAAACAGGAAGGCAATGAAAGCAAGAAACCGAAGCATGTCTGATTTTGTCAAAGTAAGAAAAAGTGAAAGTCAAGCTCAGGTCTGTTTTAACCCCTCACTGAAAACAAACCAAGTCAAAAAACCAATGCTGCCTGTTCTTCTTTTTTTTTTTAAATATATATTTGGTATCATCAGAGAGGAACACAATTTTTATCTGAGCAAAAATACTTGTTTTCTGCAAAAATAAAAAAGTGTACAAACTTTAATCTACACTATCTGGGAATACTTGAACATCAATATGACTAAGCATGGCTTTGTTCTTGAGAAGAGGATTTCAAAAGATTTTTTCTACACCTGTATATTCCTATGTAAAACTTCATTTGTCCATTGTGGCCCCACCCTACTGCCAGGGGTCATGATTTGAGCAAACTTAAATCAACACTACCTGAGGATGCTTCCATGTCAATATGATTAATCATAGCTTTGCTGTTCTTGAAAAAAAAATTTTAAAGACATTTCCTATATATTCCTATGTATAACTTTCATCCCCTGTTGTGGCCCCATCCTATTCCCAGGGATCATGATTTGAAGAATCTTGAATTTACACTACCTGAGGATGCTTCTGTATTAATATGACTATAATCATGGCTTTGCTGTTCTTGGGAAGATTTTTAAAGATTTTTTCCAATAGAAACGTATGTATGACTTTGATCCACTGTTGTGGCCCCACCCTACCCCCAGGGGTTATGATTTGAACAAAAATTGAATTTCCACTACGTAATGAAGCTTGCACATAAGTTTCAACCCTTCTGGCCCTATGGTTCTTGGGAAGATTTTTGAAAGATGTCATTAAATTTTCACAACTTCTTATTTATCTCCCCTTGAAAGAGGGTGTGACTAATCTTGAATTCTCTTCACCAAGGATCTTTTGTGGCAAGTTTGGTTGAAATTGGCCCAATGGTTCTTGAGAAGAGGTCAAAAAACATGAAAAGTTTACAGATGGAAAGACAGACGGACAGATAGATGGACACCGGACAAAATGGGATCAGAAAAGCTCACGAGCTTCCAGCTCAGGGGAGCTTAAAACTAGGAGGGAGGAGACTGCATTTTTTTTATCTATGGACCAAACCTTGGACATAAAAATCTAACGTCGACCTAAGGATAGCCCTGTTCATAGTTAGCATGGATGAAAGCTAAATACAAATGTCAAACAAGCCAACAGGCTACACACACTTTGATAAACAATGAAATAATTGGATACATGATCTGGGTGATCTCACCTTATCCTCTCCTTTGTTGTTGTTCTGGGGTTTTAGGTAGCCCTCCGGATCCTGTACATCAGCTGAGTTAACATTTCCATTTGTGAGGTACCCTCTATCGATGGCATCTTTGAGAGCAGTCACTGGTGATCCTTTACTTTTTCCAGGACTCCCTGATGTGTCTATGGATCCTCTGAGGATGGACAATGGGGAGTTGGATGTTATGGGGGTTGAGTTTCTCTTCAGGGCAGCACCCGTTGGGTCTGACAGTCTGGCGTTGTTGTTAAGAGCCTCAGAACCTGGACGACTAGATGACCTGGAGGGAGATTCACTTCTGATGGGGGCCAGGCCTGCCAACTCCATCATAGGAGACCTATGTTTTACCTTATCCACTGCATGTTTGGCCTGAAACAAAAAAAAATAAAACAATTGAGAAACATTTTTCATTCAAAACATGTGGGTGAGAACATAATAAATCCATGTAAAATGCACATATACACAGCCAAAAAAAAAAAAAAATCATGCAAAACTTTAATTGAATGCATATTTTGCTACATTCAGCAGCTATCAGACAAAACATCTTCTTGAAGAATGGAAATATTCATATGATCTGCAAATTTATGGGCCTGTAAGAATTAAACCTGGAGCAATATTATTTCTAAAGGAGATAACTCATGTTAACCTATTCAAATTTCCTACAGCAGTTATATGGAGTTACACACATCAAACATGCAAATAGCTGTCTTTGTCAAAGTATTTGGTATATGCATTTTTTTTCCAAGCAATTTGGCCTCTCTTAAACAAAAAGCTTAATATGAATAATCTTCTAAAATACTGTCTACCAAAAGAGCTCACAATATTTAACATGCCACAAATAAATGCAGAAAGAGCTACACAAAGTAAAATAATCAGCGAAGAGAAAAGATTGGATGATGTACCAGAGGAGACAACATCCATTGGGATGATATGACAGAGGATAAGGAAGATGCAAGAATATGACTGGATGAAACCAAAAAGAAAGGTCAAATAATGAGAATGGTACCTTTGCTGGGCTGCGTTGTAATGAAAACTGAAATAAGGTTGTAAATTACTAGTACAATGCTTTGTTAGCATAATTAAAATGATGAAATAATAAACTGGGTTCTTGAATGAAATTAAAATGTAACATTGATATTACAAGAATCTAGCATACATAAAATTACACAATTCAAAAAAAATGATTGAGATACACCAGTATACAGATTGAAGAGAGATACTCATTTTTCCATTCATCTCTGAGCATGAAATGTTCATTCCTTTGAACAAGCAATAAGAATGACCTTGCTGTATTATTTTTACTGTGTAATTCAATGTATCTAAGTTGTTTATTTGATAGCATGTGCAAAATCATATTTAAGAATAAAGTTCGCGTTTTTTGTGAATGTTGCTGGATAACCTCTGATGCTGAGAAATGTTTTTTGAAATATAAAAGCCGAGGCTTTATATTTCAAACATCATTTTGAGACTGAGGAGGTTATCCTGCGTTATTCACGACAAAGAATTTTATTTCTACTTTTACTAACAGCTACCATGTCGCGATTAGGCTGTTCCATTTATCACCAGATGGTTTGCTTGTTTACTTGAAATGGAATGCAGACGATTTGAGCTTTCATTGGATTAAAAATATCCTTAAATTATTTATAAATTTGTTTGCAACATATATTAATTTTCATGAATGTAAAATAACAAAATCAGTTGTCTATTTCATTGCTTCATCAGTAAAATCATGTAGTGTAAATGTTGTGGGGAGGCCCGTGGAACAGCCCCATTTATCTATAAAAACTGACATTTATCAGCTGCTTTAAGCAATACACACTGTTTACGGATGGTCTAAAGGAGTATTTGATCTAAAGTCAAATATTCATATCAACTGTACATGTTTGATAAGTGTATCTGATCTGATAATTTTTTGATGATGTTCATGATTTATTGGAGAATAATGTCCGCAGCATTTCTTTGATCTCAGGGATAAGTGTAGTAGAATTTAAAATATAATGACGAATTACTAAAAACAACTTAGGGAATCAAAAGATATGTTTATAACAGTGAAAAGTCTTTAAAACTTACAAAATCAAATATTAAATTTGTTGTCTTATTTTTGTTCCAAAGAAAATAATATAACAAATGTAGCTCTTTTATTCAGTCAATCCACAGATATATCAACTTAACAGAAAAGCACATGGACTTTTCACTTTGAGCTTAGTCGATATCCTTTTCTGTGGAGTTGATACATGTATGGATTGACCTCATACAAGGGTTATATTAATATATTATTGAAATGAAAACCATTTTAAAAGAATTTCACAGATTAATCTATTTAATTATGACTACATCATTAATCAAAAAGTGATAAAAAAAGAATTAGGTATCTTGTTCTAGTCTACTTTGTGTATATCTAGTTTTACTGAAATTGGACCAGAATTGCAAGAGGAGTACCACTTTTAAAAGAGAATTTCACACAAAATTTGGCTTATCATTGACACTTTATAAAAATCAATTTTGAAAAATTGTTAACATATGAACAAAAGCTATATTGACAAAGTCGCCTTACATATGCAATTTATTCTAGTCTCTGAGCAGTACCGCTAAAAATAACTAAGCATCAAGTTTTGAAAATCAATGATTTTGCTCATTTTGTAAAACTGCTACATGCCCCAGTCTCTTCTATATATAGTATCTCCTTAACTTCATTAGTTTTTGGGGAGTAACCCATTATTCAATGATACATAGTAATTATGACCCACATTTTATTCTGCTGTACTCTGCATCAGGACTACTGACCCATATTTTATTTTTGCTGCCTACATCTTTGTCAGAAGGCTGAGAATCATCACTACTGGACTGACGCCTCATTTCCATGTGCTGCATGGCCTTCTCCGAGTACGGAGTGGGGGTGGCAATCTCTGCCAGCTTCTGTTGGAACACCTTCTGGGCCTGCTCCTGATATTCCTACAATAAAGATATATCAGACATATTCTTACAAAACAAAAGTACAGTTAGCAAAGCAACTCCATGATCCAGCCTCATCTCTATTGCATTTGTCACACTTGTAGTTTTGTGTTTTGACAAGGGACTTCTACAGTTTGTGTCTATAAATCTCCAATATTTCTAAGATCTTATGATTTGCATTTGGAAGCATATGTTCTGCAGGAAAATTTTGTGAAAACTTTCTGCAGATGAACTACCGGGTAAAACCCATAAATTCTTGATTTGCTGGGTAAGTGAGGTTTTCTCCTAGCAGTGGATGTGTGTGTTTATCAACAAATACATGTACATCCCATATTATGATAACAGATTAGATGGCCCTTAATTATTGGAGCCAGGTACACACAGATCTTCTTTAATTTACATCAAATACAAAATGAGAAGCTTGACACAAACAACATTTCACAATTACAGATTTGTAGTTCCATTTTTCCTTTTGCTGTTTCCTGTTTCTTAAAACCTTATCAAAGAGACAGAGACATTTTTATCAGATCTGCATTCTGATACATAGCCCTGATGAATCTGGTATAATTGGCTGTCTTAGATCCATCTTTATCCTGTATGACTAACCACCAAAAACACATGTACTGCTCACATAAACAAACAGCTGTCAGCAAAAAGCAGGTTTACCAACTTCTGAGAATCCCTGCTACACTTAAGAGGAAATCTGAGACAATAGATCAAAATTAAATAAGTAATAGATTTCTTTACCTTGATGTGCTTTACATGGGTACAGTACCAATTTTTGCATTTCTCATTTTATCTACAACTTGGGTGACATTTGAAAACTTACTACAGAAGCAGATCATTACGGTATTTTATACCAACTTCAGGCTTGATTTTGATAATGGTCATTTTCTAACTACCGTTGAACTTCGGTATCTTGAACATGAATATATTGAATACCATGGATATATCGAAGTGATTGGGAAGTCCTAACCACGTATTTCTTAAGTATTTTACCCTCAATATCTCGAACCCTTGGATATCTCAAAGTTTTTTCTTGGTCCCATCGAGTTCGAGATAACAATGTTTGTCTGTATTTCATTTTTCTTTATTTTTTCCTATGGTGTCAATTTTATGATTTGTCCTACCATTAAAATAGTGAAAACTGAAAATAACTGCAGAAAAAAATGAAGAAATTTTATGAATACATATGTCATAAATTACTGGTAAAATCACTGTGTAACTCACTGACACCATTATAAAAACTACAGAATGGGTCATAGTGGGACACTCACTTACTTGTTTTTGCCATTTTGTGAACAAATCATTTTGACACAAGCTAATTTTGTGATACCTAAGTGACATATAAAAATGGGATTTTCAGCTGACAACTACATAAATTTATAAATACCTGGAACTTTGCCTTCTGCTGAATAAGCTGTTGTTCTATTAATTCATTAAATGTGGGCTGTTTTTCCCTCTCCTGGGCGTAAGCCATCTTGAAAGCATTCCCCACTATAGCATTAAGTTCTTCTGCCTGAAAAAAATGTCCTATTCAATTAATAACTATGCATATTTCCAGGAGTGTTATTTTCCCCCTTAAATTCATTCAAAGTTTCATTTCAGCCAGTAAATTAAATGTAACTCTACCTATTGAGACATTAGAAATAAAATAGCATGAGGCATACTGAATTTCACAAGGTGTAACATAAGCTTGCCTAAAGTGACACATGAGATAATGTTTTGTTAACTGTCTATGAGTAAATGACCACTGATTCCTGCTCTATGTTACCAGGTGTACAGATAATCTCTGCACTGTCTGATACTATAAGAAGATTGATTCGGGATTAACATGTTGCAGAAATAGAAGGAATACCCCTTATAAACTTTGATCTGCATACCTTTATACAGTCAAAATTAATGATCCACACCAATTTGAACACCTGTATATCATAGCTATAATTCACACTTGTTCTGAAACCATTAAATATAAATTATTTTGAAATGGCCCATTTACATTTTTTAGTTTCCTTTTTCATGTTCTTTGTCCAGAGACTTGCAGGTTCAATAGTTGACATGCATGATGCCAAAACATTTCATTGTGAAATGACAGCATCATTTTTCTTTCATTACTTATACATAACATTTTACAGACCATTTTATTCCATGCTATTTCTGGAGCTTCTTAAAAAAAACTTAAGGAATAATGAAAGAATAAACTGTCTTAACCAATAACAGAGTTAACTACCCAAAAATCAATCATGTTACATCATATAATTGTGGATATATCGACATATACCAGAAATAATAACCAAATCTGAGAGATACTGAATGATTCATAAAACAGGGTTCTATTTCATTCGAAATAACGTAGTTAAATAATGATTACTTTAGCCACAATTTTAGATTTAGGCTTTTTATACAGATTTGGGAATATCTTCAACATGGTCAAGTTAGTCTTCCACCATAAGCTGTTTTTTTTGTTTTTAATTCAAAGGAATCAAAATTGTATACTTTTTGTAATGAATCCTGCTTGTGATTTCAATACTTAAACCTCCTGTATATTGAATATGGGATGCTATGACCTTTTATCTAAACACTTCTGGCTGGTAAGTGCATTCTAAACCCCCCCCCCCCCTTTTAATATTTCATGCAGAGGAAAGAAAACCTGGAACAACAAATCATGATATTATATTGAATCTATTTCTTATTGATCTATTTTTCCCCTATATCGATGAATAATTCATAATTTATTAAAAGTTTAATTTGACCTATGCTACTTATTATTTCTTTCAGATTGCTTTGTTATGTCTACTTTGTTAAATAGACTTGCACTTGGATATATCACCTGAATACCTATATATATAACTATGAACAGAAGGTGAGAAAAAAGGTAACAAAATATTTATGTTACCCAAGATAAACAATTTTCCATCAATGCTACAAAAGAAGACTGTGCTCATAAACTTAGCTATGTACCTCTGAACTTCATCATAAGCTGTGGTGCAAACTAAATAAAAAAAAAATAGACTGACTAAAAGATATTTAACTTTGTACATGTATTGTATGTATTGTAAATATATTGCTGATCTAGAAATATTACCAATCATTAAAAAAAGTCATAGATACAAAGACTTTGGTAGAGAATTGGTGAGGAAAATTAAAAAAATTGAGAAATGAAAAATTAACTTCATGATATAGAACTAAAGGAGATATGGTCTTTTCTCGAGCCATTTTGCTTAATTTTTTCATAGTTTATATGTGATTTTTGATTTTGTAAGCATGGTATGAAAACATTAGGAAAAGGAAAGTCTTAGTCAAACTACTAATCAGTCTACATCCCTCTGAAGATTGTGTGGGCATTACTTTTTTTTCAACTGAACTATTTATGAATGCATACACACATTTCATTCCAACACTGTCAAGCTGTCTATGCATCCTATCACTGCTATCCTTAACTAAATACACATGTAGGCAAAATAAATAAAACTTTGTATTGATCTTATAAAGTACACCAGACTCTCTTATGGGGGCAAAATTTCCGAGCTTTTCATGCATTCCTAAAATACTAAGTACACCAAAGTGCTGAATATACGTCAAATGAAATTTGATCCCTAAATGTGTGATTAGCATTTGTTACACTGGGACAATCTCGGTCAAAAATCAATAATAAAAGAACAGTCGTTAAAATATAAAATAAATCATCTTACACAGTAATGTCACTGTCTGACTAATGTTATATGTGGTACATGTCCTAGCTGATTCTTATCTAACTCCTACAGAATGCCAGGTTATCACTTGATTTAATGATTTTTCCCCCCAGTATGATGGAATCATTAAAGCAGTATGGATTTAATTGCAACCAAAAATAGTTCTCAAGTTCCTGTGCCTTCTGAGACACAATTATTATTTTCAAATTAATTAATCTACCAAAAATAGATGACAGAAATGAAGCTACATGTACTGCAAATTAAAATCTGTTTCAATAAGGACTGAATTGATCAGATTTCAATGATGAATTTTATCCTCAATCCAACAATCTGATTTCAGAAGTGGTGGTCAATAGAAATATTTACATAATTATTGAATTCTCTGATTTTTTTCTTTGATGTTTTCAATTTATTATCTTCCATACTGAATAGAATCTAAGGCAATCTCAATGAACGAGTTCAGGTTTAACGATTATAGGGATTACAAGCTTACAGCAGACAATTAAATTTCAATTACTATGACATTCATCTTCTGTAGATCTAATGATGATTTGTGTTATAATGAAATATTGACCTTGAAGAGAAAACCAAATCTTTAAAAAGTAGTTTTGAGCAAAATTACATTAAATTATTAGGCCATATAAATTTAAAATTTAGATTCTCATCCTAATTTGCTGAAAAATTGGGGCGGGTGGGCGGATTTTATTTTTTATTTTTTATAAATGAAAGTATCAACAACACATTCGTACACTTAATTTTTACATTATGTTAATGCCAATATGAATAGATTTTATTGTTTTCATATTCTTTTAAATATCTACAGAATATTCTTGTTATAGAAAATTAAAATATTTATAGTTTTATTAACAAATAATCAAGTACACAGATACGGTACACGCCAAACAAAATGAGGTGCTGATCCTAATAAATTGCATATGCATGTTTTCTCATCGGCCTTTCCCCATATACCTTATAGTTTTACCAACAACTCCTTCTGTTCTGTGTGATATACAGATATCACAGATTTCCACTGTCCTCATACATTCAATCGTTCTTGAGACTTGACATGTTCAACATTAAATATATCATATTTGCAAAACAGGATTGTTTAAATCTGTAAAATATTCTACTGAAAAGCCTAGGCCTGAACAGTTTTAAGATTTAACATTTCCTTAGCACTGTTAGGCCATATAAATTTAAAATTTAGATTCTCATCCTAATTTGCTGAAAAATTGGGGCGGGTGGGCGGATTTTATTTTTTATTTTTTATAAATGAAAGTATCAACAACACATTCGTACACTTAATTTTTACATTATGTTAATGCCAATATGAATAGATTTTATTGTTTTCATATTCTTTTAAATATCTACAGAAGATTCTTGTTATAGAAAATTAAAATATTTATAGTTTTATTAACAAATAATCAAGTACACAGATACGGTACATGCCAAACAAAATGAGGTGCTGATTCTAATTGTTTTCTCATCGGCCTTTCCCCAAATACCTTATAGTTATACCAACAACTCCTTCTGTTCTGTGTGATATACAGATATCATAGATTTCCACTGTCCTCATACATTCAATCGTTCTTGAGACTTGACATTTTCGACATTAAATATATCATATTTGCAAAACAGGATTGTTTAAATCTGTAAATATTCTACTGAAAAGCCTAGGCCTGAACAGTTTTAAGATTTAACATTTCCTTAGCACTATTATTCTCTAAAGTCTTTGGACGACGTTTTTTTTTTTAAATGCAAAATCACATACATCTGGAGATCGTTATTTAAAACTTGACCATGTGTCATTTTCTTCGTCTGTTTTTACTTGGTTACAATCTCTTTAAAAACTTGCCCATGCCAGTGATGGTATCTAGATGTGTTTATATGTTATTTTTGCTTTTCTGCCTTCTCATTACTGACAAATTATCTTTTCCTACATATTTAAACTGCTTTCATTGCCGATATTTCTCCATTCTTCTCAGTTTTTTTGCTATAAATAGCGCCACGCGACTTTTAATACAGACGGGAGATAACTCTTAAATTTTGACCCAGATTCTTGCTGAATAAAAATACATGAAAATAATACGTTTGGCACCGAAAAAGCAAAATAAAAAACAACGGGGCGGGGCACTTTGAGAGGGGCGGGCGGGGATGAGAATCTAAAGATTAATTTTACCTGGCCTTATTCTCTAAAGTCTTTGGACGACTTTTTTTTTTTTTTTAATTGCAAAATCACATACATCTGGAGATCGTTATTTAAAACTTGACCATGTGTCATTTTCTTCGTCTGTTTTTACTTGGTTAAAATCTCTTTAAAAACTTGCCCATGCCAGTGATGGTATCTAGATGTGTTTATATGTTATTTTTGTTTTTCTGCCTTCTCATTACTGACAAATTATCTTTTCCTTACATATTTAAACTGCTTTCATTGCCGATATTTCTCCCTTCTTCACATAGTTTTTTTGCTATAAATAGCGCCACGCGACTTTTAATACAGACGGGAGATAACTCTTAAATTTTGACCCAGATTCTTGCTGAATAAAAATACATGAAAATAATACGTTTAGCACCGAAAAAGCAAAATAAAAAACAACGGGGCGGGGCACTTTGAGAGGGGCGGGCGGGGATGAGAATCTAAAGATTAATTTTACCTGGCCTTAGACAGGTGCCAGCATAAAATGTCGCTTTTCTTATGATAAATCATATAATTTACCTAATTAAATATGATGTTCCAATACTGCTTACACACTCTGTAAATGTTTGAATATTTCCATTAAAAGCTTAACACATCTAAAACATGTATAGCATAAACTACCCATATTAT